ATTCATACTCACGTCACTGCCCAGCATATTGAGGAGCTAGGAAGGCAAGTGGATAGCATGGACAACCCCAACACCAAAACACGTTCTGGCCACTCATCAGCAGGTCTGCTCTGTTCCCAAGCAGTTGTTAAACCCTCATGTAGGACCTACTGCTACGCAGACTGACCCGCTCCCAATCAGGCCCTTGGGTGCTGAGGAAGGGGGAATTGGAGCCGGTAACTCAGGCTGAAGCCACAAGGCTGCCCCACAGAGCTGCATGTGACCAAAGCCATGAATCAGCCCTGGGAGAGCTCACTGGGCTATTTACGACCTTCCCCTGTTTGCTTTTTAAAATAAACTTGCAAAGAAATCTGAAACACCTGGGTTGGACTAGACGGGCCTGATGCCAGACTGGTGCCTTAGCAGAACAGTGAGCAGGAAAGCAGGAGACACGAGTGCTCACGCTGGTGGGCACCAGGCCTCCCTCCCTCTCAAAACAGAGAGCACAGCACCGTAGCACTGAATTATTGCCCGTTTTGTGCTATTGCCCTTGGCATGTAACTCAAATTTCTGTATTTTGTTTAGGTGAGAAGTGCCTCAAAAAAACTCTCAAGTTCAGTCTAGTTTCCTGCACCCTCCTAGGCTTTGCACCTCTCTGGAGGTGACTCACCTAACCCCCATGTTTAAAGCTCTTAGCTTTAAACTAAGCTGCTGTTCTCACACACAGAACTTCACCTCAGTAATATTATTCATTTTTTCTTACGGAGAAGGTATCTTCAAACCTCCATCTCTCAGCATCCACCTCCAGAACATTTCTTTCCATTTGTAGTTCTCTGCACATACAGGGCTGTGCAGCAAGTCCAAAACCTTTGTTGTCCTCCAAATCCAACTGCCCCTCATACCTGTGCTTGTATCTATCAGCTCTCTTCTCTTCTGCTGCTTCTGTTTGTTCCTTCTCAGATGTCTCCAAAATTGGCCAGTTTTGCTCTGTACTCTGCCTTCTCTTCTGTTATGTGCCCTTTTAGATCCCCCTGCTGCAGCTATCAAGGAGAAACAGTTGCTCAGGGGCTGCATGATGGAGGGGATGTGGGGAAAAGAACCCAACACACCAAGGCAGTTAAAAATCCTCTTTTGACGAGTGAAAATTGTGGTAGATCTGGGCAATGAAGGAAACAGAGCCCAGGCTAAAAGGCATCTTTCTCACCAGAAGCATATTTTTCAAGTTGCTCAGATCTATAAGGAAGTTCTCAATAGAGGTTTTCTTGGGTTCAAACAGAAATTACTGGCCTAGCTCCTTAAAGGCTTGTTTGCACTTGTTCGAGTGCATCATATGCAGCTTGTCGCAAATTCTCAGCAGAAAAAGGTCCCCCAAAAGACATTCAAAAATAGAGAACATTCCTAAAATATTTGCTTGAGCCAGGAGCACAGTTTCTATCCTGCAACTGCTATATCAGGACTGTACCTGTCGCCCGAAAACCCCTTGGATATCTGCCAGAAGGGAGGCTCACCCTGACTTCGGTCCAGGCAAGTCGCACTCCTCCCACTTGATGATTAACTGCTGCAAAACAGCACTTCAGTGAGGAAGATCTGAACATCAGATCCTTGAGGAAATCTGTCCCTGTCTGCTCCCAGACAGTGAAAGGGAGGAATCTCTGGTGCAGGCAGAAGCCCCACATTATGTCAGCCAGTGCCACTGTTCTCTACTCTCTTTTTTGCAGTATTTTGGTAGGGGAGTCCAACAATCTGCAGCCTCCAAAATATAGAAAGGTGCTGCTTTCTCACTTGCAGTTGCTTAAACACTGACAAAGGCCCAAGACTGGGCATCTGCAAAGACACTGCTGAAGCTCCCTGCCCACCTCTACTGCAGCAGATCACGGTTTCCTTGCAACAGGGGGACAGGAGAAAGGACAGTGTCACACCAGCAGAGTCACTCTATTTTCAGATGCCCATTGTTGAAGGGAAATATTAGGCTATAGAGAGGAAACACCAGCAGTTTGGGTGATGAGCACACACTACTGCCGAGTGCCTTCACCCTCTCTCGGAGGAGGATGCACCTGCAGTCTGCATCCTGCTGCTGAGACTCCATTTCCTTCCTCCCTGGATACAGACTCAGCAGCCCCCGCTCTTTATCCCATCACAAAACAGGGGGTATCCTTCCTTTCAGCCATGGGATCTGCCTATTGCATTGACGCTTCCCTCACTGCTCTGCATGGTAAAAAGGCTTCTACTGTAGCAACTGTTGTTGAAGGGAAATATTAGTCTATAGCGAGGAAACACCAGCGGGTTGGGTGACGAGCACACTACTGCCGAGTGCCTTCACCCTCTCTCGGAGGAGGATGCACCTGCAGTCTGCATCCTGCTGCTGAGACTCCATTTCCTTCCTCCCTGGATACAGACTCAGCAGCCCCCGCTCTTTATCCCATCACAAAACAGGGGGTATCCTTCCTTTCAGCCATGGGATCTGCCTATTGCATTGACGCTTCCCTCACTGCTCTGCATGGTAAAAAGGCTTCTACTGTAGCAACCAGAATAACATTTCCTTGGGAAGCAGCAGGCACCTTCCATGGAGCACCCCAGATGCATGAACAACCCTAGTTTTGTCCAGAAATGCCAAAATCCAAAGCCCTGATCCCAATCGTTCTGAAACCTCCATCTTCTGTTCTCCCCAAAAAGAAAGGCAGGCCACTGTGGATGGGCTCGTCTGGAAGCGCCAGCAGGCTGGGGTAGGACAGTTCACACTGCCCAGCCACAAAGTGCAGCAGCGTTAGCTTCTGATCCGAGGACTTTGTGTCTCGGAGCTGGCAATGAAGAAAAGAACAAACTCATCGAAGGAGCAGGACTGTTCAGCCCACAGTTATCCCCAGTCCCACACGCAGGTTGCTAGGAAATAAACACAGGGTAGGAAGCACTTCCATAAGCTGCCCATGGAAAAGCACTCACCTTGCAGAGGAAGCTGATGTTGAATCCAAAGGCACCGGCGTTCCGGGAACCGGCGTTCATGAAGTTGCCCACGAGCAGAATAAACTCCAGGAGGCCGGATGCTCTATCAAATCCAGGAGACACTAAAGCGATGCCGACGCTCCCACGGCTCAGACACCTGCAGCCCTTGTTTGGTGCTGACCCGAGTCAAAGCGCAGGGCAGCTACAAGCACTGAGATCAGCAGCAGGGTAAGGCACAAGGTTTTGTTTCGAGAGAGATGGAAGAGGCTTCTCCTGACAAGCACGGACTGATCTGGTCCCACGGGACCATCACCAGCCCAGCGGGGCCACAGGGTCCCTGGGCAGGGCCCACGTGTCTCTGAAGCGGCCGCAGCTCCTTAGGCCGGGCCTTCTGCTTCCAGCTGCCGACGGCCGCGCGACCCAACGCGGACAGTCACCAAACAGCAGCTGCCTCCTCCTTGAGCTGCTTCTCAGCTTCTAACAACAGGGGAAACTCTTTTCTAAGCAGTTGGATCCTGCCCCAGAGAAGCTTCGCAGTCAGATCACAAAACCTTGCCTTGTGCAGGCTCTTTGGAAAAGGAAATACATCTCAGAGCAAACATATGTTACCATGGCCAGGAACGCGCTTAGAAGTTACTGTGCTCAAACTCTGCACATTAGATTATGGACAGTTAGGGAGAGGGACAAGAGACTTCCAAAAAAAGCATCAGCTAAGGCTGAATGATGGCAGGATCGGTGATCCTTTGTGGAAAATGTCATTCTAAGCATTAGGCACGTTGTAAGAATCCTACATTGATCAAGAAAGTGAAAAAGAAAATACAGAAACAGGGAGGACATTGTTGATCTATTTCTTCATTCCTCTACTTCCTGGTGCTCATAAATGTTCCAGCACTGGTGACAGGATCAGGTTTTATTTTCTGCTCTGCTGTTTCTCAGGAGGGGCACCCAAAGTCAGGTCAGTCTCAGCTCTTGGAGCAGTTGTCCTCTACAGACCTGACCAGACACGAGGCTCTAGCCTTCCTGCTTCCCATCCTTCTCCCTTGCCACCAAGCGGAGTGAAACTGGGATGTGCAAACTTAACAGTTCTGTTAAAGGCAGCTTTTTACATCCGGTAATTTGAAATCTTTTCACAGTGAAGTGTTTTTTTTTTTTTTTTTTTTTAAATCACGTTCTGAAATTTCCTTCTCTCATTACATGGCCAAAGTTTTATTTTTTTGGAACTAAATGTAACTGAAGAGATGGACTAATTCTCATGGAGTTTTACAGGCCACCTAAAGCTCTGTGTCTCGGGAACACCGAGACCCTCTCAAGATGTTTGGGAAGACTAATATGGAGCTCTGGATTCTTCATTTCTTTTTTCTTGGGAGGAACCCAAGTAACCATATACTTCATTAAGGAAGGAACAGAACAGGGAGAACAGATTTTCTACATGACAGACAAGGACCTTTCACAGATCTAAACCATTTGGATCTAAAACTCCATCAAATCCAAAATTCCCCATATAAAGAAGATAAGAGCTACCAGCTCCACAGGGAGAGCCAGCCTATTTGGAAATCGGGGCAATAAAGTTGGTCCTGACAAAGCAGCCTAACAGAATTGTTTCCATCCAAGCAGGTTAAATACGCTAACAGCTTCTTTTGAAATATTGAACATGGTGTTTAAATTCAACTCGGGTTGATGCTAAAAGGCAATACCGACAATAAAAAAAACACTACAGAAAAGTCCCTACCTGAACACAGGATGCAAGACAGGATGTGTAGCAGAACACTAGGTGGGAAAGGCACTTGAGGGACAAAGAATGTTCATTTGGGGAGACTCCCCCATTGCTTCTTCTCCTGGCTGCCTCCTGGGGAGAGTCTCCCCTTTCCCCTTCCCAGAAATAAATCTGTGTGCTTGTTAGTCTGCCTGATGGTCCTTTGTGCAGCACTAGACAGGAAATTCAGAGGCAGAACATAGAGTATGGAGGTGGAGTGGGACATCACACAAGGAACAAAGCAGTGAAAAATACATTTCTTTTAATTAGAGGAAGATGCTGATGCATCTTTCTTTGTCTAAGCAAAGGGAAAGGCACTCACCACAACCCCAAACTGCTCAGGTTCTGCCAGGTCATTGTACTCATCCTTCAGCTCTGCCAGCATCTTCAGTTGCTCTGGCTCTGGCATTTGCTTAATCAAGTTCTACAAGAGAAATGCAGACATTTGGGCTTGCTTGATGCTGGTCCCAAAATGTACAACCAACAGGGATGTCCAATGACAGAGAAAAAACAGTTTCTTTACACTGTGCCCTTCCCACATGAGAAAGGAAGGAGATAACAACTTCAGAGAGGCTCTGCCATGAACTGGGTCACTCTCTGCCAAACTGCAGCACAGCAAAACTGGGAAGCAGCCACCTACAAAAACCTCCCTCCTGCGTGTGCGCAAGGGCACGCACTCACCTGAATCATGGACTCGGTGAGCACGGCTTCATTCACCTCCAGGATGACGGTCTTGATTTCTTCATAGGGCATGCGGAAAGACCCCAGGAAAATGGCTGTCAGGACCCAAAACAGAAACACACAATCTTTAGGGACAAGGCCCTGCCCAGCGCTTAGAAGGAAACGGCCCCAAATCCTGTCACACTCACATAAGTTCTGGGCAGTCTTTGAATCCAGGACTTTCAGCTCCTTGACTTTTTTCTTCTGAGTTGTCCTTTTCTCCTCTCCACCCTCCTGCTCTTTCTTGGCTGTGAATACACAAAATACAGGTAAGGTGTAAAAAGCTCAAAGTGCAGGAGCTTTTCTTCATGTGCTGTCTGAACCGAACTGTCCTAGCAACTGACGACAAAGCTCTGGTGAGTCTCTATAACAAGGGTTTACGAAAGGTTAGAGGAGGCTCAGTAGGCTAAGGTGACAACATCCATCTGTACATCAGAGCTTGATGCGAGGCACTGAATGCATGAAATTTGTGGTGTCCTGCATAGGAAAGGAGCCACAGCAGATGCCCGGTGTCATCCCAGCTCCTGGACCTTCTCGCAGCCTGTGAATAATCCTCCCCTCAGCCTCACACCAGTTTCTGAGGCTTCCTCCCTTCTCACACAACGTATTTTGCAGCCTGTGAACAACCCTCTCCTCTGGGTTATGCCAGTTTCTGACACTGTCATGGACAATTCCTTCTCTGGGAGCCAGGGAGCTGACACACGAGGCCAGTAAAACACGAGCTGTCAGGGGAGACCATAGAAAAGGGACTATAAGAGCTCTGCTACACTGTCCTGCAGCTGCAACGTGGCTCTCATCCCCTTTTGGCCATGGAAAGCCAAGCCAGGCCTTCCCTCTGCACCCCAGCTTTGCAGACAGCGGGGAAGGACCATGGAAACACAACCCTCCTGTGTCCCACCGGGTGCTCCCCTTTGGATACCGTGTGTGCAGGGATGCCTGCGGCCCCCTCACCTGGCTCTTTGGATCCCCCGTGCCGTAACGAGGCAGGGCAGGAGCAGCAGCTCCCCCGTGGGAGCCGAACGGGGAGGCGCCGCGGCCGCGCGCTCGGATTCACTGACCTAGTTCCAGGCGAGCGGGTCCGCCGCGAGCGCAGGGCGCTGCTGCCCGGGGGTGTCTACGGGCAAAGCCGCCCTCGGAGCCGTCCCCACAAACCGCAGCGGTTCTCAGGACAACGATGCTCTCGGTCCTCCATCCTTGAGAAAGGCTGCGCGAGCAGAAGAGGCGCTGACCACACGGCTGAAAAGAAAAAGGCAAAGCAAAAAGCTCCATTAAACTGTGAAATGATGTTCCTGAGAAAGCAAGAGAAGGGCAATTGCTGGACATGTAAGAACTTGAGAACTGAGCCTAGGAACCAAAACGTAGATTGTTCTCATTAATCTATGTGGAAGGAACAAATTCTAACAAAACTCTCTGAGCTGGGACTGAACAGTCTTGTGGATACACCCCCCATCGCCCATGTACAAGTTACTTGCATGCACTAACCCAAACCCAGTTTCAACGAGTCAGTCTCAGTAATTTGTTTTGCTGGAGACCCCAGGTGGACTTGGACCAAGCTGCAAGGGTTGTAATCTACACCTTGGGCAGCTTCACTGCCGGCCAGTGCAAAGTTAAGTCAGATACATTTAAAGCAGGTTCAATCTATGCACCCATACCTCTAAAAACTTGAAGTAATTGAAGTAATAGATGCTACAAGGAGAAAACATATCCCTAAACTACACTCTGAAGTCTGGCAAAAATAAAAAGAAAGGAGAAAGAAAGAACCAAAAGCTCTACAAGGTTTCACAAAACTGTTTCTTTCCAAGTTCATTCTGAAGCTTAAACTGTGAAAGCTCTGAGCTGCCATATGGCACCTACACCGAGAGACGCTGTGTTTGCCCTCAGCCTCCTCGAAATGCAAGTGCGTTTCACCCGTCCTTCTGGAAAGTCTCCAGGCTGACTGATACCTTCATACTAGTACGTTGCTGTAGCAGACCTCACTATCCAGACAGAAGTGGCGGCGTTACAGAGATCTGAAGCAGCATCTTTTGTTAGTGACAAATCCAAGTTTACCATGAACCCCCTAACGTCCCATCCCCTGAATTCACAGGCCTCCCGCAGCAGCCACGGCACTCGGCAGCCAACGACTCGAACTGCAGAGATAACGGAAACACTTAAAGAAAGAAAAAAATACAACTTCATAGGAGTAAAAATCATCCAGCTCTTAGGAAAGAGAATGATGCTCAGAAATACCCAGCTAACCCTGCCCAAAGACAGCACACGGGTAAGAATAAATAGTATAAAATGAGTGCTGCATAAAATGAGTGCTACGTAGTGCCATGACCCAGATCAAAATGCCTTTTTGTGCATTACATAACTAACAAGCAAAAACCTGCAGTGAATCCTGCTGCCTGGGAAAGCCCGTTCCCGAGTCCTGGCTATGGGAAACACATCTGGCTCCCATTGCTGTTGCTGCCTGTTGGAGGACCAGGCATCCCCCCTTGCCAGGGGGGTGC